CCACTCCCCTCTGCTTGTGTTCCCTCTCTCGCTGTGTCTCTCTCTGTCAAATAAATAAAATCTTTAAAAAAAAAAAAAAGGAAATGTCTTTTTGACCAAAAACAACACTATAGACATGTAGGTAATATTTTACCTTTTTCAGGGATAAACACAAAAGCTGAACCACTCAAACTATTACGGTTTTCATTGAAATTAGAGGTTTCCCTCAAGTAAAAATGCATCATCTGGCTAAACCTTATTAAAGTTTCACTCTCAAGATTTCATAAAGATGAAAATGTTGATGGACTGAAAGCTATTATCCACATAAGATACAAATGGTTATTATGAATATAAAATTCCCTCCAATTTCTACAGAATGTCAGAGATCACGAAAAATAAGCAAATACCTACTTGTGGGTTTCAAATTCCCTTTTCAGTATCCTCTTAATTCTTTTGATTACACAAAATCTTCAGTTGACAGCTAACATGCCTTTAATATCAGGAATCTGTCTGAATTTGGAGATGATGGAATACAGCAGTAGCCCCAAGCCCAAGGCAGGAACCCAAAGAAGCAATTTGGCCCCTATCAGGGTTATACAAAAACTAAAGCTAATTTTTAAAACCAACAAATCCTGAAGCTGTGCATCTTGATTCTATAAATTTGGGTATATATTAAGTTGCTATCTTATACACCAGTACCCCAAGATGAATTAGCAAATGGCAAGATTCTAAAAGATAATGCATAAGAGGCATCCATGAGATTTTTCTAACAGAATTTTTCCCAATATGTTTCCAGTAATTAACTTACATATAATCTCAATATAATGCAGCAGTATTTAATTTTTCATTGAATGTTACCTATCCGGACTGAAGCTGGCTCCATAGACAGGCCCGCTGTGACCATACAAAATCTTCAACTCACTTGCGGTTTTCTCATCCATTATTCTTTCTAAGACATCATCTGATTCTTTGTCTATGAGGCTAAGATCTAAAATGGTCCAAAAATATTGATTTTTTAAAATACATTCATTTAAAAAAAAAAGTACATTCATTAGAATATTTCAAGGCAATTACATCATGGTTCAGAAGAAGAACTACCATTTGAACAGTCCTACACACCAATCTACGGCCATACCACCCTGAACGCGCCCGATCTCATCTGAACAGTCCTACGTACCACCCACAGTGCCTCTAACCATCCCAGTGTACAGAAGAGGAAACTGAGGTTCCGAATAATTAACAATTTGCCAGAGTGCACATAGCTGCTCAGTGTCGGAACTATGATTAAAACTCAAAGCAACTCACTATATCATGTTTTACCAAATGAAAACTATGGAAATATTAAAAATTTTTTGAAAATATATTATCTTGTTTAAATAATACATTTAGCAAGAAACTTTCTTTAAAGTAAAATCCTAAAATTAGTTCTTCTTAAGCCATTTTTAGAGCTAAAACAGTATGTACTCTCCCACTATTTACTTTAAAGGCATTTTTAAAAATTCACAGGCAAACAGTCATAAAATTAGATTTTTAACCTTACGGAGTTTTCTAACCCAATCCCCTCATTTTACAGATGAGAAAACTGAGGCCCAGAAAAGTTAAACCAGTCTAGCGCCCCAGTCTCCTGACTGCCACTCCAATGTACTTCTCGCTTGGGAATGTTAGCATTTTGAGTTAAAGTAAAATCAAGTGAAATTCTGCTGAGATCACAATGTCTTATGTATACTCCATGGAATCCAGATTGGTGTAAACTAGGGCGAGTTCACATCTTCACAGGTCATCTCAGTTACCTGCTGCTTGTTTAACACTACGAAGCTTTTTGGGTGTCACAGACCACACTCTAACAGTTGAATCTGCAAAACCTCCAGCAATCAAACTAGAATCATCAGTGACATCCACTGCAGTGAGGCCCTGCCAATAAAAAAATAAGAACTTTGTACTATACAATATGGTCTTGGGGGGAAAATTACATCTTAGAAACTATATAATGATAACTCTTTTTCTCATAGAAAAGATTTCATTCTCTTATGAAACCCACTGTTTGAAAATATTTACTTTTTTTTTAAAGATTTTTATTTGAGAGAGAGAGAATGAGAGAGAGAGCACATGAGAGGGGGGAGGGTCAGAGGGAGAAGCAGACTCCCCGCTGAGCAGGGAGGCCGATGCAGGACTCGATCCTGGGACTCCAGGATCATGACCTGAGCTGAAGGCAGTTGCTTAACCAACTGAGCCACCCAGGTGCCCCGAAAGTATTTACTTTGAGAACATGTCACCATTCACCCCTTTTGCCCTCCAAATTTAAAGCACACGATATGAAGAAAATGTTAATCATTTTTGTACTTTAGTAAATATATCCTCAGCAGCTTATTACAATCTATAAAGACATATAGAATCCTTAATAAAAAGTATTAAGTTCATATAAGTACTTAAGCCAAGTTCAATAGAGATAAACTACAGTTTCCTCCTCCTCAAAGGCTAGCGGAATTCTGATCAGTAAAACAAGGGACACACATAAGCAACATTCTGGCACCTGCAAGTTGCTAAAGGTCTTTTCAACACTGCCTTCTATCTATTCCAATTATCCTTTCCTAACTTCTGTGTTTAAGCTATATTTACATCAAGAGTTTAAAAAAGAAAACTCCGTCTAAGTTAACACATCTAAGTTTCTTTTAGTGGTAAGTCACCATTTTACATGACTCTCCAGGCAGAAATTGCACAATTATCTTACCAACCTGGTAAGCATTGAGGAATGTATAGAAACAAATGGAGGGTAAACAGTCTGGCCCAAGGCGTACTCGTTTGGTGGTTTCTTTCATATTCATTATCTTATCCAACTTATCTGAATCTTTCAACTCTGGAAGAGGGATTCTGTGAAAGAAAAACAGACTGAAAATCACTCTATTAAGAAACTGAATTCTCTATAATAACAGTTCATCCTAAACCTCCACACATGTTCCTGAAGTTTTTCCCTCACCTGTTTTGAGGTGGAGCATTGGGATCTTGTTTTTTGCTTTTGGATCCAATGCTATCTTTTTTAGGCTTCTTCTTTTTAGGTTTTCCTTCTTCATTTTCTCCTTCTTCATCTTCATCATCCAAAGGCACCTCAATTTCTGGCTCTTTTAATAAACCAAAAAATACCTACAAGTCAAAAGAGCCAACAATTTCAAAATTAATATTTCATTCATCAATACATCCTTTTCATATCTTGATAGGATGACTCACAATTACAGTAATTTATACCCTGAAGCAGATTCTGTACTTGTCTACCCAATAGCCAATCTCCCCTTCTTCCTTACTAACAGAACCCTGATTTTGTTGGAGCAGCAATATGCTCAGTTAAATCATTTCTATTCCCAGACTCCCTTGCAGCTGGGAATAGCCATATAATGTCATTCTGGCCAACAGATGTACACACAAATATACTGGGTAGGGTTTTAGGAAAAAAATACTGTTTTCCTGATAAGAAAGAGATTTAGCGGGGATATGCCTTTTGTCCTCCCCCTTCTGCCTTCCTGGAATGCAGGTGCAATGCTGGAGCTACAACAGCCATTTGGGAGCACAAAGAAGAAAGCCACATTCTAAAGATGATGGAGGAGAAACTAGAAGGAGCTAGGCCCCTTGATGGCATTGTGGAGCCCTTATGCCAGAGCAAGAGGGCTTTCCTTTGCAATTCATTATACATGTATGCAAAATCCCTTATTTGTTTCAGTCACTGTAGTCAGGGTTCTGTTAAATGCAACCATTCCCAAATTCTCACTAATTTACACATCATCCTTAGAACATGAAACTTAGTATACAGGGTACGGTTATTCCCAAACTAGCTATAAGAAAAATGTGTAAATTATGTAGATGGAAATGCTACAGTTTTTCATAATCTGCATTATATAGTTCTTAGGTTTATTCCCATACCTTTGATTTGTTTGCCTCTCGTTTAGCCTCTCCTGCCAAACTTCCCACCATCGCATCTATCTGTTGCTTACTACGCGGCATCCCATCAAAGATGTCAATGTAGAGGTGCTCCTGAACTATGTTCCATATCTGATTGTTCTGTTTCTCCTGAAGATGCCTCTTCAAGAGTTGGTACGAGTCACGGGAAATACGCAGAACAAATTTACTTGTTCGAAAATCCAACATGGTCTCATTCCCTTTCATGTGTTCCTTTTTGGTAAGACTAGATAATACTCGTAGGTCATCCTGGTAATAACATTCCTGATCTCCATGGAACCTGTTTCAGTGATTTTAAAAAGTCATTTTTCAATGTAATCATTAAGGGATCTGCTCTCCCCCATATATTTATAAACATCCCAGAATATTTTCAACGTAGCAGTCTGAATAATCCTGGACTAAGCTACAGGATCAGAAGTAACTCATTTCAAAATGATTACAATTCAGTTTCTGAATTCATCCTGAAATTTAAAAATTTAATTCTCTAATGAAATGTATCATTAACATTTTAAGAGAATTTGAAATAAATACCATAAGTGAATGAAAGATGTCCACCACTGGTAGACATTTGAATTAGAATTTCTGCTTTACTAAATTTTATGTTCTCTCAAAACCCACTTTTAAAAACTTTTTATTATGGAAAGTTTCAAACATATACAAAAGTAGAAACTAGTATAATTAACTCAATGAACCTATCACCCAGCCTCTTAACAATAATCAATACATGGCATTCTCATAAAACCCACCATTTTCAATGACTTCTTATATTCTTAATACCAGACATATTTATTAAACATCAGTAAAATAATATGACTAAAGGACAAACAAATGTTGATACCAAAGAATGAACACTTCCATTTACTCACCATTACCAAAGGTAATTAAGTAAAGCTTTCAGCCTTGGTGAAAATTAGTAAATTTAAATGTACTTTTGTTTCTATAAATCTTAATTTTCCTAATAAAGTAAAATTAAAATCATATATTTGGCACTCACTAAGAGCAGCAAACAATGCAAAAACATTTAGGGAACAATGACTAAACATAAGATACTAGGCTCTAGCTCTGATACACAGCCAATAGATGCCTAAACTGTTACCCCTGTTACCCTTTTATGACTCATCAAGACAAGATTTGTTTCTGTCCAAGATTTCAGTGAAATTAGAAATCTCAGCCTCCTGGTGTTCACATCAGTCACTGCCCATAACCTCATCTGAGCATGGTGTCTGGGCAAGGGCTGAGATTGTCCATAACAAGGAGACAGAGTCCCCCAGGATATTCTAGCTTCCTATGTGAAGAAATGGCTATCCCATGAGACTGGGAGAGAAAGAGGTTTTTTGATGACAATACTATAAGAAAAATTAGGTTAGAGTAGAAGTTCTGTCATCATCAGCCTTTGTTAATTTTTTCAAAAATGCTGAGCTACAGAACATTTGCTTTATAAACCTTCTATTAGGTATCATACAATAATGAATGGATATAATGGCATAGAAGCTAAGTGTCCCGAGTTCTATTATTCCTGTATTACCACTACTTGTGTTATCTGACAAATGCCAGCTTTTGGGTCTATTGCTTGTACTAAAATGCTCTCATTCAAACTGTTAAGTACCAACTCCTTTTTAACCTCTCCTTTCTTTGGCTTCTATAACTCAATACCCTCCTGGTTTTCTTCCTACTTCTCTGATCTCTCCTTACATACCTCTTCTACGTGGCCATCCCTTCTACTCATTTTCTATCTCTTCTATTACAAATGTTGGCGTTCCTCAAGGCCCAGGTCTAGGCCTCTCATTGACTTATTTCATAACCCCCACCCCCACCCCAGACAATCTCATCCATATCCATCAATATTACACACAACTCCAATTTATGGCTCCAGTCCCTACATCTCCTCAGAGCTCCAGAGCCTTATATATCATTCATCTATCAACTTAGTATCTCTTAAATGAGTCAAAGGCATATTCAAATCCGAAGCCAAGATTACTCCACAACCTGACAAACCAGGTCCTCTTCCAGGGTTTTCTATCTTAGTGAAGGGCACTCCTCCATCCTGATGGGGGAGCCAGAAACCTAGGGGTTATCAATAATACCTTCATTTCCCTGACTTCCATATCCAATCCATCACCAACTGCCTCACCAATATGTCTACTTACCTTCACAAACACTACTGTACCCTAGTCTAGTGTTTCTCAACAGAACATTTTGGGGCAGAACAATTCTTTGCTAAGTGGCACTACCTGCACATATTAGAACATTTGGCATCCCTAAGCCACCTGCTCTTCCCCACCCTAGCCATTATGACAACCAAAACACCTCCACGCAGTTTCAAATAGCCAACGGGAAGCAGGAATAATATTACCCCCAGTTGAGAACCACTACAATAACCTCCCAAACTGGTCACTCTAAAGTCACTCTGTTCCCCGTCACCACCATCTATTTTCCCAACTGCATAAAGGTCCTTTCAAAATGCAAATCGGGGCGCCTGGCTGGCTCAGGTGGTAGAGCGTGCAACTCTTGATCTCGGGGTTGTGAGTTCCAGCCCCAGGCTGAGTGAAGAGATTACTTTAAAAAAAATTTTTTTTAATGCAAATCTAATAATGACATGGTCCTTCAATGGCTTCTATAGCAGAGACACCTCACTGTCCCCAAACATCCATTTTTTCTTTCTTCCTTCACAACAGAATATCTGAATATTAGCTGAGCACATGAACACCTAGGCAAAGGCCACACTTTCTACCTCCCTTGTAGGTAATTGTAGCCGTTGCCTAACGACATAAAAAAAGGAAGAGTTGTTGTGTGCAACTTCGAGGAAGGATGTATGCCCTCCCAGCTGACTATAACACTGATGTGACTGCACAGAGCCAAAGAGCCATCTTGTGCCACAGGAGGAAGCTGCATGACAAGGATGGAAGAGCATCAAGATGGAGAGAGCCTAGGTCCCTGGTAATCAAAGACTCTATACCAGTCCTGGACTGCCTAACCTTTATGAGAGAGAAATAAACTTTTATCGTATTTAAGCCTCTATTGTTTGGGTTTTCAGTCACTCTCAGTCTAATCTAATCCTAACACAGCTTCCTACTGCTCTTAGGATAAAAACAAAAAATAAACTTTTATTTTATTTATGCCATTATTATTGGAGTTTTCAGGGAATCTCAGCCAAATCTAATACTACCCAATACAACCCACTACTGCTCTCAGGATAAACAAAGACCCTCAACATGACCCAAGAACCTGCCTGTTCCAGCCCAGCTTCGACCCTGTACTCTGCTCCAGCCACACTGGCCTTCTTTCATCTCTGTACCTACCATGACCCCTCCCACCAGAGGTGTCACACATGCTTTTCCCTCTTCTCTTCATCTGGTTAGCTCCTACACAATCTTCTGATCTTACCTCAAGTATCACTTCCTCTGGGAGCCTTCCCTGACTTCTCCAACTAGATCAAACTCCCTCTTTTTAGGTTCTCCTAGCACCAGGTACCTCTCCTTCATGAAATACTTTTTCAGTTACAATCTTACATTTGTGTGGTTACAGATGTATATATACATTATATATATGTGCTATATATATAATATATATAAAATTCACATACTTCTCAAAAAATGATTTTGCTTCATTCTCATGTTGATTGTAGACTAGTTCCAAGTACATGTGTACAAACAGAGGATAAAACAGTTGGGATAACTCTGCCCGATGGCAGTCCAAGGAACATTCAATGAAGTGTTTCAGTCCACTATAGTATTCTTCATACATTGTGGGGTCCCCTTGTTGGTTGTAGGCTGACAGCACAGCACTGACATCCGGCTGGTCTTCTACAGCTACACTTCCAACTGTTTAAAAAATGAAGAACAACCTTCAAAAAATGACTGATACATACCAAGTGACTAAGGCTGCTTTGCTAAGGTCCAGAGGTAAACTGCTTCTCAGATGTTTGTCCCTCTCCTCTCAAAGTCTCTTCCCCAACACAATCATACACTCTTTCAATGGGATTTTCACTTTGTTTCAGTCACCTATCCCAAACTCCTTCAGCTTGTTCATATCTTAAAATAAAATTTTCAAATCAGTAACAAAAAGGTTCAATATTTTTCCTGCAGCTACCTCAAAGGCAAAATTCATAAAACATGGTATGTGCAAATCAAACAACTATATTAATCTTCTCTCAAGGCTCAATGTAAATGGCACCCACCACCACCAAGCCAAGTCCTGAAGATTCCCAGCTCTCTGAGCTACCTAAGTATTTTGTAACTTTCCTATAACACATCCTATCCTGTAGGATATGTGTACATCTATCACTCCTTATAAAATGCAAGCATTTTAAGGGTGGGAAGGCGGAGCCTTGTTTCCAAAAGATAACTCAATTTATATGCTTAAAATAATTTCTATAAACATCATTCCAAGGCAGAAAACATGAGTATTTATTTGTAATATTGCAATACCAAACAATGATAACCTGTCAATCTAATCAGTTTGTTGGAAAATTTTAAGTTGCAATTATAATACTGCTGTGCTCTTCACTGCACAAATGTTTTAAGTTCTTTTGGTTACTCTGATGGCCTCTTTTCCTTCTTACTGGTTTCTGAGTTATGATAGGTCAAGTTTCTGAAGAGATGAGAGATTACAGAAAAATAACCAACATAATTCATCCATCTTATAGTTCATTCACAAAGTTCAGCATTCAGAAAAGATTCCTCTCAGTCATATTTTTGTGCATTTCTATTTGTGGGATACAATGCTACATATTCATACTTCACTTCTGGCAATGCTGCAAAGATTAGGTCTCATAAATACAGATTAATTTGGCTAGAGGCTCTGCACTAGACAACTTAATTCAATAAACATTTATTATCAGCTCAGGATCACCTTTGAGACCTCATATTGTGTATGAATTTTACTGCATGGACTTTGCAATTACAGTTGCTAGGAAAAGGCTGGGGAAGGAGGTCTCAGGTGTTAAGTGTTAGGTGCTGGGCATAAATTTATCAGTACCAGGCATTTTATATATATTATATCTGAGCCTCACAATAACCCATTTAATAGAGGGGGGAACACTTATTCTCAGGAAGAATTAGCATCACACAAGTAAAAGCAACAGAGACAGATTCTGAACCCAGGTCTGTCCAAAGCATATTCCTAAATGAATGATTCTCAACCTTTGCCATACGTCAATACCACTTGGAAGCATATATTCAAAAATGGAGATTCCTAGACTCCACCTCTACATGATCTGATTCACTAAGTCTGAAGTGACAGACTGTATAAATATTGTTAGTGTTAATGCAGACCTGCCAAGGCTCAAGAACTCAAAAAAGAAGAAAGGGACCAAAAGCCTGAAGGTCCCCGCCTCTCGGTGCCCACCCTCCCCAGACATCCCTCTGCTCAACAGCTCTCCTCAGCCTCTCACTGGAACTGACAGCTTGGAAGAGGGTTTGACTGCGCAGCCGGCGCACTAGAGAAAGGGGCGGGCATGTGGCCCTAGAGGCGGGCCCAGGAAATTCAAAACAAGCCCGCAGAGGTGCAGGCCTGCCAGCCTCTGCCTTCCCGGCTTGCTCCTCTTAGTGCCCTGCCTCCCCGGGACTCCGCGGCTCACCTTTCCCCGGAGCCGCAGGACCTGTCGCTAAGCCCGAGACGGCGGCGGCCCCCGAAGCGCCGGTGCCCGGAGGGTCAGGGGCCGCGGGGCCGGGGGCCGAGGCTGTGACCCGGCTGAGAAGCGCGCTAGCCGCCTCTGTACCGGCGCCGTCCGCCTCTCCCGGGGCTCCGGTGCCCGCCACTGCCTCCTCCAGCAGCCGGGCCTCACGGCGCAGCGCCTCTTCGGCCTCGCGGAGGTTGCTCTGCCGCAGGAACTGCAGCACGGCCAGCAGAGTCTGTCGGTCGTGGGGAACGCCGGCCTCCGGAGCAGCGGCGGGCACCGGGGCCGCCCCCGCCGGAGCAACGGCGGAGACAGCCGCCGAGGGCTTGGGGGTCCCACCATCCCCGCCGGCCGACGACGACGCCGTCGCAACGTTCCCGCCGCCGCCGTTGGGGCCGTTGTTGGTAGTGCCGCCGCCACCCTCGCCAGCGCCGTCCCCCGCCTGCGGAGGTAGCAGCGTCGGCGGTCCCTCTGGCTCTAACTTGACCGCCACCTCCGTCTGCTCCTCCGCCAGCGCCGCCATCTTGCGGCTGAGCCACCTCGCGCCGTCAAGCGTGATTGCGTTTTCGCCACTTGGAGGGCGGGGAGGAGAGTTTTACGACACCTTGGGAAGGCCATATACGGCAGTAGGAGGGGCGAGAAAGAAGGAGAAAAAGAATAGGAGGAAGAGCAAGTTTCAAAAAGTGAGTGACAGAAAGGCAGGAAGTGGGAGGTGGCGATCGCCTGTAACATTTGACTGTAATAATTGCCGTTCACTGCAGACCCGCTATTTTTAGGCACTGTGAGAGACATTTTACATTTTATGACCTCCTTTAATTCACCAATCTTATAAGGCATTATTATCCTCTCTTTACAGGTGGCTCAACCGAAACCCAAAGAGGTTAAACAACTTGCCAAAGTCACGCAAGAAGAAAGTGAAAGTGTCAAAATTCGAATCCAGGTCTCTAACTCAAAAGCATATCCCATAGCCTGAAGGTGGCTTCTGAGATACTGGTAATGTTTTATATTATCATCTGGGTGGTGGTGACTTTTTATTTTTTTGCAGTTTTTACCTTCGTAAAAATTAAGCTACATGCATAAGTTTTGTGAGCTCTACAGTATGTATGTTATAATTCAATAAAAAGTTTTTAAGTACCTAAGTTTTGTCATTGTGAAATGTGTACATTCTGTATTCGTGCTATGTTATCCTTTATTACAAATAAACTGCGTTTTAATTGTATATTTTTATAAATAGTATGTGCCATTTTGGAATATGCTTCATAGGTTATAAAACCTTGCTGATATTTTATTTCATTTGAATCTCAAAATTCTGGGGATGGGTGCAGACAAGAAAAGTGAGCCTGGGGAGTTGGGAAGATCTAGCACAGTTATTCCTGTTGCTGGTTTTTAAGTCCTACTAGTTTCTTTCAACCCTGTTGAGTAGCTGAATGACCTGGATCAAATTACTTAACTCAAGTTGCCCAATTTCTAAAATAGGGATAATAATAGTACCTACCTCACAGAGTTGTGTAAGGATTAAATGAGATAATGTATATATGATACCTAACACATAATAAATAGCTGTTGGTTATTTTTCCTTCACCATAAAAGCTGTTCTGTAAATGTAGAGTCCAGTTATGATGTTCAAGGTGATCTCAAGACGGGAATATGAAGCTAATCTAACTAGATATCTAAAGTAAGATTATGGGGGCGCCTGGGTGGCTCAGTGGTTAAGCATCTGCCTTCGGCTCAGGTCATGATCCCAGGGTCCTGGGATGGAGCCCCGCATTGGGCTCCCTGCTCCGTGGGAGGCCTGCTTCTCCCTCTCCCACTCCCCCCTGCTTGTGTTCCCTGTCTCCCCTTGTCTCTGTCAAATAAATAAATAAAAATCTTTAAAAATTTTTTTAAATAAATAAAGTAAGATTATGAAACATGGTAGGAGTAGGGGGTAGTGGAAGATGACTAAGAATTGGTTAGCGTTTTTTTTTAGATTTTATTTTATTTTTTTAAGTAATCTCTATACCTAATGTGGGGGCTCAAACTCACAACCCCAAGATCAAGAGTTGCATGCTCCATCAACTAAGCCAGCCAGGCGCCTTTTTTTGTTTGTTTGTTTGTTTGTTTTAAGAAGATTTGCTTAGCATTTACCCAGCACTGATCAATAGAGAGAGAACCTGAATCTCATGTGCACACTCATGAGGTGGGGAGAATTTGTCCTTTTCCTTAGGATCATTGAACTAATTTTTCTGATTCAATATTTACTAAATAACTTGATAATTGGTAAATAATTGAGCACTTAGATGAGAGAAGCCATGAATAACAAGCTCAGGCATGTTTATTATCCCCTGGAAGGTGGTTTTACACCTTTACAAATAGTATATTAACATCTGATGCATATATATTAGTCTCGAGAATCAGATCCTAAGAACTAGATCTACCTCTACAGCTGAAGCCCACATACTGGGACTCACAAAAGTACAGCCACCTCCTTTCCCTCTGCAGGGTCCACCTTTCACCTACCTTTGTTTCTTAAGTTCCAAAAAGTCTGCGTTGGTACCTCAGACAAATAGAGTGGTTTTCCTGTTATACTACAGAAGAGATAAGTATACTGAGTAACTGCAAGGCCTACTTTTAATTTTTGTTTCTCTTTTCCCCCTTCCTTTCTAATTCCTACTCCCATCCTCCTACTCTCTTCTTAGGATGTTTTAAGAAGTCAGGTATCAATCTGTATCTTTTTCCTTTACAGGAGAGCTACCCTTTCTCTCTGGATGTTTCTCTTTCTCTTCAGTGTTCTTTCATTTTACTCTAATACATCTAGGATTAGATTTTTCATGTCTATCCTGATTGGCCCTTTATGCACCCATTCAATCTGAGATTTTTTTTTTTTAATTCTAGGAACTTAGAAGCATTACATCTACAAATATTTTCTCCCGTCTATCTTTCCCCTTCTTATATTCTTGGTTTTTTAAAAAAGATTTTTATTTATTTATTTGAGAGAGAGAGCACGAGCAGGGGAGATGGGGAGAGGGAGAAGCCGACTCCCCGCTGAGCAGGGAGCTCAATGCAGGACTCAGTCACAGGACCCTGGGATCATGACCTGAGCCGAACACAGATGCTTAACAGACTGAGCCAGGCAGGTACCCCTCTTCTTGTATTCTTGTAAACAGATATTGATACTTACACTTTTATCTTCTAGGTCTGCTTTCATATTTTCATGTTTATCCCTTCCTAATACCTTCTAGAAGGGTTCCTCTACGTGATTTTCAGTGAAATCATTCTCAGCCTAGATCCCTATTGTTATATAACCCATTTATTAAGTTATTTACTTCAACCATTATATTTTCCATAGTATTTTGAATTGGTTCTTCATGATTTATTATCCTGCTTCAACCCAGTTGGGAGATTTTGTCCCCCCTGGGGACATTTGGCAATATCTGGAGACACTTTAGGTTTTTACATCTCAGGGTGGTGCTTCTGGAATCCAACTGGTAGAAGCCAGGGACGCTCCTAAACTTACCACAATGCACAGGACAGCCCCATCCCACCACAACATAGAACTGTCTGGCCCAAAATGTCAGTAGTGCCCAAATCAAGAACCCATGATATAACCAATATGAACTCTTTTCTTTTTGAGGATGTATATTTATTTAAATTATCTTTTCATCTGATGCATTTAATCTGTTATCTTATCCCTCCTATAACTCATTACTTTTCTCTATGAATTTGTATTTCACTGAAGGTATCAGCTCCTTGGCTAATATGTATACGCAGAGGGAGAGGCAGAAGCCCAGCATTGGGAAAAGGTGAAGGATGCACCAAAGGAGGAAAGTCTGTAGTGTCACTGTCTGGGCTCCATCGTTCCCTGTTTGCCAACTCACATGCACACATGTGCACACACACATATCCTCAGGATTTTCACAGTTTTTACAGATCTGTCAATTTTGGTGCCATCTCAGTTTGGATGTGATAGGGGAGCCAGCCACCAGTGTGAATTTACCATCTTGTTTGATTCCTACATTTAAACTCACACCAGGGGGATGAGGCTGAAAGTTCCAACCGTCGAATCACATGGTTGGTTCCAGACCTCATCCTGAGACTATCCAGGTGTCCTCAGCCACCAATCATCTCATTAGCATATAAAAAGACCCTTATTACTTCAGAGATTCCATGGGTTTTAAGAGTCATGTGCTAGAGGGAAGGGGCACAGAGACCAAATGTATATTTCTTACTATGTCACAGTTTCATTATGTCCTTTCCAATCGTATGCCTTTTATTTCTTTTTCTTGTCTTATTGCATTAGCTAGGATTTGCAATATGGTGTTGAATATGAGTGGTGAGGTGAAAGTGGACATACTTCATTCCTTGTCTTAGGGAGAAAATACTTGTTTTTTTGTTATTAAGTATGATGTTCGCTGTGGGATTTTTATAAATGCCCTTTATCAAATTAAGGAAATTTCTGGGCAGTGGCATACCTTGTATCTCAGTTCTTAAAACCTATGGAACATTGATTAGGCTCAGATCATGTATATGCAGCTTGAGGATAAACCCAACTTTATGGGACCATTTTATTGATCTCCTTAATCTCCCCAACACCTCCCTTTCTGGTCCTCTAGCTAGAAAAGGGAGTGGGCTTTAGTTTTCTCACTCTGTTGTGTACTCCCTGAAAATGCAACTGCTGTGGAACCAAGAAGCAAGAGGATATACAGTGAAAACAGTAGTGGGGATCCCCCGTTGCTCTTGGGATCAAAGTTCTCCCCTCAGAGTTTTAGGTGCCTGCCTAGCCTCCACTGCCATCCCCCCCTCCATTGCCACTATGGATGTGCCAATGGACTGGTGTGAGAGAGAATGGAAAAACAACAACAAACGTTGGATTTCCATCACAGTTTATGACCTACAGAGGTCCCCTTTGCTGTTCCTCAAACCATGATAGAGGATTTCTCTTGGAGTTCTCTCTGACCACACCTGGTACACAGCTCTGTGTTTCAGCTTATGTTTGAGTCCGGGCCAGGAGATACCAGAGGGAAAACAAAATGGGAAATGCTGTGATGGGTCAGTTGTAGTTTGAGTTCTGGTTGCCTTCCTCAACCTGCCTCTTGCCATTTGCATTCTAGAGTCTGTAGATAGCTGTTCCATGTATTTTGTCCAGAGTTTTTACCTGTATTGAGTGGGAAATACAGAATGAAGCACTAATTATCTTGACCAGACCCAGTAGTCTCAACCACCTTAGTCGATACGTATTTTAGTTTATATTTTGTCTTATCATTAGAGAGTTTGAACATCTTTTCATATTTTGGAGCTGTTTTTATATTACTGTGGGGGATTAAGTTTTATCTTTTTCCTCTAATTTTTTTGAGTTTTTTATCTGTCTAGCATATTAGTTCTTTATCTGAGATATGTGTTGCAAATACTTTCTCCTGGTTTGGCCATTGTCTTTTCATAGTGTTTATATTTTGGGGGCCTGCAGAAGTTCTTTTTTTTTTTTAAGACTTATTCATATATTTGAGTGAGAGAGAAAGAGCATGAGCAGGAGGGGCAGAAGGAGAGGAAGAGAGAATCTGAAGCCGACTCCGTGCTCAGCACAGAGCCTGATGTGGGTCTCCATCTCATGACCCTGAGATCACGACCTGAGCTGAAACAAGAGTAGGACACTTAACCAACTGTGCCACCCAGGTGCCGCCAGAAGTGTTTTTTATGAAGTCAAAGTTACCAACTTCTATTTTATTGCATCTGGATTTGGAACCATAGAAAGATCTTCCTTTCACCTAAAAAGGAATTCACCCATGTTTTCCTCTGGAGCTTGTATAGTTTCCAATGAGCTCTCTAATTGGTTTGGGACTGAATCTTGTATATGAGGTAAGGTATGAATCTATTTTTTTTCAAAAGTGTTTCAGAAATCCCACAACTGAATAAATAAAATCTTTAAGGGAAAAAAAAAAGGGATGCCTGGGTGGCTCAGTCAGTTGAGCATCTGCCTTTGGCTCAGGTCATGATCCCAGGGTCCTGGGATCCGAGCCCCACGTTGGGCTCCTTGCTCAGTGGGGAGCCTGCTTCTCCCTCTCCCTCTGCCCCTCCCTCCTGCTTGTGCTCTCTCTCTGACAAATAAATATTAAAAAAAAAAAAAGGACAGACGGAAGGAAGGAAGGAAAGAAGGAAAGAAGGAAGGGGAAGGAAGGAAAGGAAGGAAGGAAGGAAGGAAGGAAGGAAAGAAGGAAGGAAGGAAGGAAAATCCCACAACTGGAGTGCCTGGCTGCCTCAGTTGTTAAGCATGTGACTCTTGATCTCAGGGTTGTGAGTTCGAGCCCCATGTTGGGGGGTGTAGAGATTACTTAAAAATAAAATCTTTAAACAAAAATCCCACAACCTTCTCAAGTTTGGCAATTCGCTAAAAGCATTCATAAGACTCAATTGCAGTCTATACTCAAGGCTAGAGTTGATTACAGCAAAGGATGCAGAGCAAAGAAGCAGGAAGATATACATTGGCAGAGTCCAGAGAGGCCAAACACAGGCTTTTGCATCTTTCCCATCCAAGCCCACATAGACATGCTTTTTCTGCTGTCAAATTACAGAGACAAATGTGATATGCTTCTGCCCAAGGAATCTTGTTTGAGTTTTGGGATCTAAGGCATTTGTGGGAAGGCTAGTCATATGAGAGGCCTATCCTGCTACACAACCAGCCCTGGCAACCCACATTCAGGACCCCAACAGTGAAATCAAATGCATGCAAATCATCAGTCTTAATGTTTGTGTAAAGTAATCTGACAAGCTGGGACAGCACGGTCCATTGCTTCAGGTGTACACAGCAAAATCATCAATCACTGACACACACATACACAAAAATATTCATACACAACCATATTCCCAGAGGTTGACCAAGGGTCAATCATGGTTCTAGGTTCCCATGAAGACAGGAGAGAATAAGCAACCAGACCTATTTTAACTCTTTCCTCATAAAATGACTAACCAATTTTCCTAAATACCTTCATGAAAAAGTCTCACTTCACCCCAGTGATTTGAGATGCCACTTTTATCATATACTGAGGTTCTATATGGACTTGCCTCTATTTCCGGATTTTCTATTCTATTTCAGGTTTATTTATTCATGTAGTAGTTAGTAATGCAATGTTTTCATTAAAAAGGGTTTATATTGTGCTTGATATTGTAGAGCTTGTCCATCCTTGTAGCTTTTCTAGTCTTTTCCTGACTATTCCTGCATGTTTATTTTTCCATATGAAGTTTAGCATCAACATGTCTATCTCCATGAAAGCTTGTTTCTACCCAACTTTTCTTCCTTTGATAATGTCTGTATCCCAACCTTTAACAAGTATCATTTTATCTACAAAAGTCATCCACATTACAGAAAGGATGACAAAGAAAAGCCACATTAAGCCCAATACTCTAACATAACATGGATATCATTGTGTTTCTTTTTATACAATTGTAATTATATATATAGATATATATTTCTATCATGTTATTACAGTCTTCATAACCATCGTTTTAATGACTGTATAGTATTTTAACGGAGACTCATAATTTTTTTCATGACTTATTTAATGAAGAATATTTAAGTTATGCCCCAATCATACCATAAACAATGCTAAATACTACTTTTTCATTTATTTATTTCCTTAGGTAGAGACTCCCAGAGTAGGATTGCCAAAAGGTAAAAGGTATAAACATTTTTCGATCTCTTGATATATGTTAATAAGTTGCTTTGTTTAAAGTTGTACTAATTAAACTGTCACCAGCAATAAGAGGGCCTATTTTCATAGCATCCTTATGTTTCATTGTTTACCATGGCTTAAAATAAAATAATAACCACAAGTGTGACCAAAATGTAAACGTTTATACCTTCTGACCCACCAATTCCACTGCTAGAATTATGGAAATAATCATCTGGTGTGTATATGCAAGGATGTCCACTATAGAATATGGCAGTGTGATACCAGGCTTTTTTTTTTTAAGAATTTATTTATTTATTTGAGAGAGGGCGCACAGGGGGAGGGAAGGGAAGAGGGAGAGAGAGAATCTCAAGCAGATCCCATGCTGAGAGTGGAGCCTGATACGGGGCTCCATCCCAAGACCCTGAGATCATGACCTGAGCCAAACTCAAGAGTCAGATGCTCAACTGACTGAGCCACCCAGGCACCCCTCTACATTTCCTCTTGATGATTCTCCAGCATCTTAAACACAATACATCCAAAATGAACTCCACACTGGTTCCTTCCCTGTCTCAGTAATTAGCAATGCCATCATCCTCGTTTCTTAAGCCAGAAACCAAGGCCTCATTAGCTCATATTCAGTCTGTTCCAAGTCCTAGTTTGACACAGCCCTCTATTCTGACAACCTGTCTCCCTCTTCACTGCCATCATCCTAGACCAAACTATGAGCATCAGTCATCTGGATTATTTAGGCTCCTAAAGGGTCTCCTTACTTCTTTTCTTATCCCATGTACTCGTTTCCTGAAGCTGCTATAACAAATTATCACAAAATTGGTGGCTTTAAACAACAGAAATGTATTCTCTTACAGTTCTAGAAGCCAGAAATCTGAAATCAAGTTGTCAGAAGGGCAGTGTTCCCTCTCAAGGCTCTAGGGGGTGAATGCGATCCTTGCATCTTCTACCTTCTGGTGGTTGCTGGCATTCTTTGGTGTGCCTTGGCTTGTGACCACACCAATCCACCCTCTATCTTCACACCACCTTCTTTGTGTGTCTGTGTCTTTTTCTTTTATATATATATATATATTTTTTTTAAGATTTTATTTATTTTAGAAAGAAGGAGAGACAGCATGAGCAGGAGGGGCAGAAGGAAAGGAAGAGAAAATCTCAAGCAGACTCCACACTGAGTGCAGAGTCTGACACGGAGCTCAATCCCAAGATCCTGAGATCATGACCTGAGATAAAACCAAGAGTCAGACATTTAACTAACTGCACTAGCCAGGCGCCCTACCCTCTGCCTTTTTCTTATGAGAACACTTGTCCTTGGATTTAGGGCCCACCTCAGTAATTCAGGATTCTCTCCTTATCTCAAGATCCTTATTTTAAGGGTGCCTGGATGGTTCAGTCGGTTAAGCATCTGCCTTTGGCTCAGGTCATGATCCCAGAATCCTTGGATCAAGTTCCACGTCAGGCTCCCTGCTCCGTGGGGAGTCTGCTTCTCTGTCCCTCCCCTGGCTCGTGCTCTCTCTCTCTCTCTCACTCTCTCTCAAATTAATTAATTAATTAACTAAAAAAAGATCCTTATTTTAGTTGCATCTGCAAAGGTCCTTTTTCTAAATAAGAGCATTCACAGAATGCAGTTTTGATGTGGATATCCTTTGGTGGGGGGGCCTTTTTCAACCTACCACATCACATTTTTTTCACCTAGTAGCCACAGTGACCTTTTGAAATAGAAATTTATTTAAAATTTTACATACCTGGGGTGCCTGGCTGGCTCAGTCTGTAGAACATGCAACACTTGAACGTAGGGTCCTGAGTTCAAGTCCCACATCGGTGGTGAAGATTACATTAAAAAATTTTAAAAATAAAATCTTTAAAATTTTACATGGCCTATAACCCCTCAGTGCCTTCCCACCTCAGTTATCATAATATGTAAATTCTTCCCCTTGGTTCAAATCTCCTGCCTAACCTGAAGCCTATCTCTCCAACCTCAACTCCCATTCATCTGCTGCACACTTGGCCTAAGGCAGCTTTTCCCCTCCACCTCCATCTTCTTACAGTTAATTCCCATTACACCTTCTCTCTCCACAGGTTTGATGACCGACTGGTGTGGTAGTTCACCTCTAATGCTTGGATAGTAGTTGATCTGCAGCTGGGGTCAACAAACTAGAGTTAGTGGGCCAAACTTGGCCTGCTGCCTTTCTTTATAAATAAAGTTTTATTGGCACAAAGTCAGAGTTATTTGTCTATATATTATCTGTGGCTGTTTCTGTGCAATAGCAGCAGAGTTGAGTGGCTGCAACAGAGGCTAAATGGCCCATGAAGCCAAACATATTTACTACATGGAACTTTCCAGGAAAAAAAATTTGCCGATCTCTGTTCTAGGCTATTGGTTTCCTGTTTAGTGCTCTCAGATCCACTATTTGGTTTCCTCTTTTCTCCAGAGAGTCAACTTTTTTCCAGGTGCTATTGCTGCCTCCTCTAGTAAATCCTCTAAATTTTCAATAATCTGTAGTTATAATAGACTGTGTTGTTTGGTCTATTAAGTGTAATAAGACATGGTGTGACTTGTGGAACAGGCCGCAGACATCAGGCAGCCACTGGTCTTCCATCAGGCCAAATGAGCCCCTCCTAATGAAGAGAAGGGGTAATCTCACCCATTTTGAGGGAATTTAAATGACTGTCACATTTTTATTTTATGAGTATTTATTTCCCCACTCCTCCAGCTCTTGTGTCTGGGTCAGGCCTTGACTTATGAACATGCATCTTCTTGTTCATGATACTCAGCAGGTGCCTATGCCCAGTGATAGTTGCAGACTGGGTACTTACCTCGCTCTCTCTCTTTCTCTTCTCTGCCCTGCCCCTCTCTCCCTGTCCAAATATGCTCTTCTTCATGGAACAAGATGAGTATGATCCATTTTTACAACACTGGATTCCTGACCCATCTCTCCTGTGGGGGCTTGTGCTTCTTGGGGTGTGTGGTTGGCTGATGCTTTATCCCCTCCCGCATGAATATCCAGTAGGACATGACTATATACTATACTATACTCCAAATTGCAAGCCCTTCTGCCACCTTGACATTTGTAGGACTTGACTTGAAAAGCTCATAGCCTCCTTTCAGACATGGCTTTGGCCTTTTCTGACTCCCACCTAGTAGAGGATTTGCCTCAGAATTCCAGTATTTCCAGTGGAACAGCATCATATTTCTCACAGGGGAATTATGAAACAAAAACAGCAAACTCTCAGACCTGAGAAATTGTTGCTTGAATGACTTATACAGGATATGCAAAAGTATTCATTTTTCAACTGTTGGCTAAACGGTTCTCTACATCTGTGGACCCAAACTGATCTTAGGGAGATTGTTGCTCTGTTTCAATGTCTTCCAGTGGTTTGCCACTGGCTGGTTCCATTTCTTAACTCTGTGGGCACTCCTGATAGTAGTCTCAACCAAGAAGATATGGGTTGCCTCATTGTGCAGAATATCTTGTCTGAATTAAGCTAAACCAACACTTACGGCCTATCAATATATCCATACCCCCACCCCAAGTGACAAAATTTTGCTTTATAATATATTTTAAAAGATTTCAGAGTGCCTGGGTGGCTCAAGTCAGTAAAGCATATGACTCTTGATTTTGGCTCAGGTCATGATCTCAAGGTCATGAGATCAAGCCCTGTGGAGCCCGCTTAAGATTCTTTCTCTTCCCTCTGCCCCTCCCCAACTCCCTCTTAAAAAAAAATATTTCGGGGCTCCTGGGTGGCTCATCTTGGTTCATGACCTCTGGGTCCTGGGATCGAGCTCCACATGGGGCTCCCTGCTCGGCGGGGAGCCCGCTTCTCCCTCTCCCTCTGCCTCTCCCCATTTATGCGCTCTCTCTCTCTATCTCTCTGTCTCAAATGAATAAATAAAATCTTAAAAGAAAATAATTTGGGTCTCAGAACTATCAATGGAGACATTTCATTAGCACACATACAAAAACTCTAATTTTTTTTTTAAGATTTTATTTATTTATTTGACAGAGAAAGCGAGAGAGGGAACACCAGCAGGGGGAGCGGGAGAGGGAGAAGCAGGCTTCCCACTGAGCAGGGAGCCTGATGCGGGGCTCGATCCCAGAACCCTGGGACCATGAGCCGAGCTGAAGGCAGACGTTTAACGACTGAGCCACCCAGGCGCCCCATCTAATTTTTTTTAAAGATTTTATTTATTTATTTGACAGAGACACAGCAAGAGAGGGAATACAAGCAGGCAGTGGGAGAGAGAGAAGCAGACCTCCTGCCAAGCAGGAAGCCAGAAGTGGGGCTCGAACCCAGGACCCTGGGATCATGACCTGAGCCGAAGGTAGACGCTCAACAACTGAGCCACCCAGGTGCCTCTTTTTTTTATTTTTTAAGGACAGGAAAGGGCTATCTAACATTCCTTGCACATGATGATGATGGGCACCAGACATGTATCTGGGGATTCATGAAAGCATATCAGAAAAACTGTGCTTTATCTTATGTAGTCTCTTTCTTGGGTCCAGTGTCGTTTTACATGAAGGCTTATTATTATTATTCAGGAATTATTCCTATTATAGAACTTTTATGACCTCTTTTTTTAACTTCCAAGTCTTTGAACATAATTTTTGAAAAGAAAAAACAATGCAATCATTTTTCATAACCATAATGTTCTATTTTCATGTTTGCTAATGTACTCTCGCTTTTTTTCAGCTATTACATTTAAGTCTGTGATCCATTTAAGCTAATTTTTGTAGATGGTAAGAGGTAGAGGTCCAACTTCATTCTTTTGCATGTGGATATCCAGCTATCCCAGCACCATTTGTTGAAATTCTTTTTTTTTTTATTTCTTTTTTTTATTTGCATTTATTCTGCAGGGTATACTCCCGGGCCATGTTTTTGTTTCTTCAGTTTCTTCTGGGATATCTTTTTCTTCTGTGCAACCTCCTCTTCTGGTTCAGGAACAATCTGCTCTTTTTCAGTAAGGATCATCTCAGTGTGGCAGGGAGAGCTCATGTATGGGTTAATCCGACCATGAGCCCTGTACATTCTCCGCCACATCTTGGGGGCTTTGTTCACCTGGATGTGCTCAATGACCAGAGAATCAACATCTAAACCCTAAGTTCTGCATTACTCCCTGCATTTTTAAGCATGTGCAGTAAAAGTCTTCTTGGGCCACCGACCCTGTGTCCAGCCCCACTGTTTGGCCTGGGCACACCTACCAACTCCACCATTGTAGCGACGGAATGGCACACACTGCTTCTGTAAAGTGACGCCTTTCAGATACTTGGTGGCTTTTCGGATATGCATACCCTTGATGGCCTGGGCAGTTTCACGTGTGCTCTTAAAGTGAACACGAAGGTTTGAACCTCTTGATTTACATGATTTCGTAGGGTTTTCTGGGTCAAGCAAATAGTGAACCATTTTCAGAGGTCACCTCAGGCCACTTAGGGGAAGAGCCATTTGTTGAAATTCTTGCCCCTTTAGATGTTCTGGGAACTTTGTGAAAAACCAATTGACTACAAATATGAGGGTTTATTTCTGCACTCTCAATTCTATTCTGTTTGATCTGTATGTCTATCATTATGCTAGTACCACAGGGTTTTGATTACTGTAGCTTTGTAGTAAGTTCCAAAATTGGGATGTGTGTGTCCTCCAACTTCATTCTTCTCTTTCAAGATGGTTTTGGCTATCATTGGTCAATTTTTTGTAGCAACAACAAAAAAATGAGTTTATTCATCCATTGCCTTTAATCAGATTTAGTATTGTTCTTACGAACCTCTATAATGGAATTCTAAGAAGGCTGTTTTGGAATGGGGTATTTGGGAAAACACTTTAATTTGGGAAAGGTACCATGATGCTTAAAACCTTTGGAGTCTGACTTGTTTCAGAGGAATCTAAAGTTTGATTTTCTTTCACAAATACAATTTGTTGTATAACATCAGAACACATGATTTGTAGGACTTGAGCAGCAGTACAGAATTTTAGATCATTAGCCATGTGATCCTTGAAATCAAAACAAAGCTTTGAGTTTCAGGAACCCTCATGGTAGCAAATCAACACAAGAAATAGGTGTAAATAATATCTTCAATTCAAGTCCTGACCTTGATTGGAGTCTGTATTTTAGGTCAGAATTGTATCAGTAATTATTTATATAACATAGGCATTTGATGATTTGAAACTTTTAATAATACTTTTTGAAATGAATATTGATACCATAAAGTCCTTTTTTGGTTTTGTTGTTGTTGTTTACTTTTTTTTTATTTAAGTAATCTTTTCACCCAACATGGGGTTCAAACTCACAACCCTGAGATCAAGAGTCACATGCTCTTCTGACTGAGCCAGACAGGTGCCTCAGCCCTTCGATTTTTAATCTGCTTTTAAAAATTAAAGTCTTTGGTGAATTATTTCCTTACAAACAAAGACTACCAGGAAATCACTCCAAATCCCAAGGAACATTTATGGATTTCTTGATTCCCCAACCAGTCCCACAATAATGATCATAGATCTGCTTTAAAAATTTCATACCCAGGGGTGCCTGGGTGGCTCAGTCGTTAAGCGTCTGCCTTCGGCTCGGGTCTTGATCCCAGGGTCCTGGGATCGAGCCCCACATCGGGCTCCCTGCTCTGCGGGAAGCCTGCTTCTCCCTTTCGCACTCCCCCTGCTTGTGTTCCCTCTCTCTCTGTGTCTTTGTCAAATAAATAAATAAAATCTTCAAAAAAAATTTCATACCTAGAGACTCACTATCCTTCACAATCAACCAACCTCTGCCATCTCCTAGTGAATTAATGTGTGAAACTTTCATAACAGTTTTTAGATATGATTTTCTTTTTTTCTTTTTTTTCTAAGTAGGCTCCATACCAAATGTGGGGCTCAAATTCATAACTCCAAGAACAAGAGTCACATGCTCCACCAGTTGAACTAGCCAGACACCCCTAGATATGATTTTCTGTTTGAAATGGCAAAGTACCACCTCCCCAAAAAACCCAACTCCATAGCATCTCTCTTGGTCTAATGATCATACAAGGAATACAATTACTGTTTGTGTTAGGTCCACTTTTGCTGTTTTACATTTATACCATTTTAACAAGTTAGCATCCAGGGTAAGAGTGAAGTTCTAGGTCAATCTAGAACATGATTCAATTCTGATGCTTTGTCAAAATGTAAAGGTCCCTGATAAGTGCCAAAATATAACTTTAATGTGGAAACACACTTGGATCACAATGGAGATATAAGAAATTCTCATTTTATGAAATAGATACATTCTGGAAGTCCTCGCATATTGTAAATATCACATGATTAAGCCATTTACCATATAGATTAGTTGGTCTACCTAGAAACATAACCAGTAGGACATATATATTTATTAAGAGATTTATTACAAGGAATTGCTTTACACAATTTTGGGGGCTTGCTAGGCAGGTCTGAAACCTGTAGGGCAGGCCAACATGCTGGAAACTCCTGGGAAGGATTAATGCTGCAGTCCTCAGGAAGAATTTCTCTTCCAGGGGAATTTCAGTTTTACCTCTAAGGCCTTTCAACTGATTGGCTAAGGTCTGTTCAGATTATATAGGATAATATCTTTTACTTAAATTCAACTGATTGCATATGTTAATTACATCTACAAATACCTTCACAGCAATACCTAGGTAAGTAAGTTTTTGAATCACTGGGCAGTATAGCCAAGCCAAGATGACACATAAAACTACCTTCCACACCATAGAACTGACAAAGCCTGCAGATATTTCTGTTTACTAAATAAACTGACACCACCCCATGGCAATAATAAAAATTCATAATTCCTCAGCTTGCCAGCTTTGAAAATATACAATTCTTGATTGTATTTTTTAAAATTTGGGGATTCTCAATATTTTACATTATCACATACATAAAGTAAAACTTTATTAATATTATTAATAATATTTTCATATCATACTACTTCAAAATTTTATAATTAAAGCTCATGGCACAAGTAATTCTTTTTCGTCAGGTAGCTCTTACAATGCTGAAAGGTTAGAAGCTATGCCTTTATCTAATATAATCAGGTGGAGCCCAGTGGGAGAGTATCTCAGGTGTCTATGTATGTCTGTCTCTTTCAATATCTCTCTCTTCAGTGTCCTCTTTCAATACCCTGGTCTAGTTCCCCTCCTTTGAGGCTCTATACTCCCCCATGTAGGAGGAGACATTTCCTTCCTTCCACTTTTTGGATCTTGCAAACTTCAGTATCTTAAGCTTGACCAGACTTTGGGGACTGCAGAGGGAAAGGTAGAGTCTAGTCCAGGAGGAATGGGGGCACATTAAATCTTGTTCAGTTTTCCCCAGACAATCACAGTGACTTGATTTCCTCACCATTCCCTAAGAAGTAGGTACACCACTCCCAAATTAGCATTAATTTTACTCATTGACAACACAGTTTCTCTCAGATACGATTTTTTCCCCCAGCATTATTTCGTTAAGGAGCTTTTGACTCCTTTCTGAATCCAGCTTGCAAGCATCATGACATTAGCTGGCACTATGTTAGTCAGCAAGAATAAAGTAAGCCAACTCCAAATATCTTTTCTAAAAAAATTGGGGGTGGGGGTGGGAGTGCGTAATAGGTCTCAGTTCCTGCTACAGTAGACCTTCAATAAATGTTTGTTGAATTAAATATAATGGGCTTTCCTCTGTGTGATGGGGACTCATGGATGGTCTTCGAATGGCGATTAAATTTCCATCCTGTGGCAATACAAGATTTAATTCCTCCAAACAAACTTAACATATTTCAACAAGAGACGTCATACTTCCTAAGGGAAATAATCATGAATGAAAGAAACACACAATCGCTACTCAAATTTAAATCATTATTGTTCATAATACAACATCATTTTAACACCTATTTCAATGCTCTGCCCATCAACTGATGCAGACAGAATACTGCTGTCTGGAACGGTACCAATTTTGTCATTTTTAAAAGGGAGTGAAGAGGGGTGCCGGGTTGGCTCAGTCGGTAGAGCCTGCGACTCTTGATCTCAGGTTTGTAAGATCAAGCCCCACGTTGGGTACAGAGATTACTTTACAAAATAAAATCTTAAAAAAGAATAAATAGGGGCGACTGGGTGGCTCAGTCGTTAAGCGTCTGCCTTCGGCTCAGGTCATTATCCCAGGGTCCTGGGATCGAGCCCCAAATCGGACTCCATGCTCCACGGGAAGCCTGCTTCTCCCTCTTCCATTCCCCTTCCTTGTGTTCCCTCTCTCGCTGTGTCTCTCTCTGTCAAATAAATAAATAAAATCTTAAAAAATAAATAAATAAATAAAACAAAAGGGAGTAAAGAGAGCGTCAGACTTCCAAAGCAAAAATTGGGTGAGCTTCTTCTACATACGACCCGCAAGCCCCGCCCTATATGCAGAGCGGCTCAGTGCACGCCCGCCCAGGTTTAGGTGAGGGGCAGTGAACCACATTTCCCAGCGGGCCCTGCAGGTTGCCGCGCCTGCGCACTGGCAGCGTAGGCAGGTAGGCAGAACTCCCGCGCTATCCAGCCGCGGGGTCTCGTCTCCACCGGTCTCTGGCGGCGGCATGGAGAGGGTCTCGGTGACCACCGGGAGCGCGGGCGCCGCCAAGGCCGAGGGAGCTGCAGCCATGCCGCCCCCCCCTGCGGTCTCCCCGCCTGCTCTCACCCCGGCACCCGCAGCGGATGAGGAGGGCCCGCCGCCTTTGCCCGAGGCGGGGGCTCCAGGCTGCTCGGGCTCCCGGCCCCCCGAGTTGGAGCCCGAGCGCAGCCTGGGCCGCATGAGGGGCCGCTTCGAGGACGAGGACGACGAGTTGGAAGAGGATGAGGAGCTGGAGGAGGAAGAGGAGGAGGAGGAGGAAGAGATGAGCCACTTCTCGCTGAGGCTGGAAGGGGGTCGGCCGGACTCAGAGGACGAGGAGGAGGTATTTATAGCCGGTGCCGGACCACGCCGGGCCGGAGGGGCCTGAGTGAGGGACGAAGCCAGCCCTCCCCAGTAAGGGCCCGGCCGCGTCCCCAGCTCGCCGCTGCAGCTTTTGGCACTCGCGTCGACCTCCACCCCTCTCTCTCAACCTGCCTAGGCATGTGGCGCGGACTGGTCCGCGCCCGATTCCCTGCCGACTCTTTTTGTGAGCTTCCTGCCGATCACTTAGGCTCTTCAGGTCCGCCTCGATTATTTTGTAAATAATTACTAAATTATGCCAGGCGGGTAGGCGCCAAGGGTACAGTGCTCCTGCCTTCCAAGAGCTTACAGTCGGACAGGGAAACAGTCCATTTTTACAGGGTGTTCGGAGGATGGTAAACCCTTCCCTATCTCATCAGTCTCTATTTGGGAAGGTTTTTTGTTCGTTTTTTTAATGTGGTAGTGCATACTTTATCAAGTTGGTAACACCTAGCCAGTCAGAATTGATATATTAAACATAAACACCAGTATCTCTGGCAAGTTTGCCCATTTTGTAAGTAATTTATAAAGTAAGATGCCCCTCATAGGGCAATATACAATATATCCAAAAGAATGAGATCTTTTTGAAACATTGGTGTATATTGTGTTATTGTAACTTTGAGCAGGATTTTGAAGGGTTGGAGGTACTGTAACATGTTTCCATGTTGCAAAGTAAGTTACACATTGTTCATAATGAAATGTGGGGATTATGGTTTAAGAATTTGAGAAGGCAAGGACTTGTATTTTAAAACTATTTCCATTGCATTTTCAGCGCCTGATTAATCTCTCTGAGCTGACACCATACATCTTGTGTTCCATTTGCAAAGGTTACTTAATAGATGCAACTACCATTACAGAATGTCTTCATACGTGTAAGCATATAGTTCACATTTCAAACTAATACATTCAATTTTTGAAATGTCTCTAAAGCATCCTAATTTAAACTTTTTTCCCCAACAGTTTGTAAAAGCTGCATTGTAAGACATTTTTACTATAGCAACAGATGTCCAAAATGCAACATAGTAGTACATCAGACACAACCTCTTTATAACATAAGGTAAGAGAAATATATAAGTAAAATTTGTATTTTAAATACACTTTTTCTGAAAGCTTCTAGTTGTGTAGTTGGAAATAAACTCTTGACCTATTTCAAAAAGGGAACTACATATTCTCTAAAATACATATAGAACACTTACTGTGTACCAGGCACTGTGATATCTGCTGGAGACAAAAAAAATAAAAAAGCACAGGCCTCTCTTTTTGAGGATTTTAATTCCATCACTCAAGTTAATGAGACTAGTTTAGCCTTGTCATTTTGGGGTACTTTTTAAAAGTAATGCCTGAAATAACTGGCCTCTTTAGAAAAACCCGTGTATCATAGGTCATTGTGTTTTTTTATTTATTTATTTTTTTTTAATTTTCAATTCATACTCCGTTTCCTAAGGGAAGAAAAATACTAAAAGTGGATTGCTTTCATTTGTTCAGCAAATACTATAACATTTCTATCCCTTTATAGAAGAATGCTTTGTAGATGATGCATAGAAGTTCAAAATACAGTCTCTGCAAGCGAATAAGACCAGTACACATGGAACAATTGAGCAAACCATTCAAGAGTCTATGATTATTTATAATTAATTACTTCAGGTTATCTCAGGTGAGAGCCAGTGCTACCTAAAAATAATTCACCTCTGAAAAAGGAGATATCCACTCCCAAGAGAAAACAGTTGCAAAGAGCATCATTCACTCTCACTCTGTACCAAAATGCATTTTGCTGAATTCTGAGGTATTCTCCATCCTTTCCTTTTATTAGGTTGGACCGACAATTACAAGACATAGTGTACAAATTAGTGATCAATCTAGAGGAAAGTAAGTTTGTTTTATTACATAGTTGTGAATCCCAGAATCTCTGCTGACTCTATTAGTTACATTTTAAGTGTAATTTAGTCTGTGTTTTATCATTTTTTAGGAGAAAAAAAGCAAATGCATGATTTCTATAAAGAAAGAGGTCTAGAAGTACCTAAACCTGGTAAGTTTGGGTGTATATCATAATGTATTTATAGATTAAAGAATACTAACTTAATAAAATTTAATCCCTTTGAGGTTGTTTTTGGTGATAGTTGGTTATTTTATGATCAAAGAGAAAGATTATGAAGGTAAAGATGTAGTATAATCCAATTTAATTATTTATAAAAATGAAAGAGTATAGACTCTGGAGCTAGACTGAGTTTGACCCTAGCTCTGCCACTTTACTTTCTGTGTGACTTTGGCAAATTACTCCAATGTCTCAATTTCCTCATCTGTAAAGTAGGGATAATGACAGCACTTCATAAAATTGTAGTAAGGATACATTGAGTAATACAAAGCACTTAAAACAGTGCCTGGAACATAGTAACTGTTCAGATAGTTTTTGTGATGATGGTAGTGTCACAGTATAGAAGTTAGATAAATTTCTGTTTAAATCCTGATTCTTCCACTTACTACATATTGCCTAATCTCACTTAAACAGTAATCTCAGTTTCTTTACAGTTTTAACTGTTAAAAAAAAAAAAAGAGTAGCAGTATACTTATGGGATTATAACAAGGATTAAACAAGAATGCGCATGTGCAATGCTGAGTATGAGCCCTGAACCCTGGCACACAGTAGTGCTTATTAAAGATTACCTGTATCTGTTGTGTTATGATGAGCTCTCTCTGTGGCCCTGATAAACCAGCCACATATGTCTGCCTTCCAATGTGGACTGGTCCCCAGGTGCAATTTCAGTGCCTTTGACAGATTAATGTTATTAAAGAAAGGAAGATTGAGGGCTTTATGATCTTTTAAATAGTCAACATAGTTATCATATGTGTGGTTATTTTTCAAAGATCTCAATTCATGAAATTTTTTTTTCTTTGGCTATTAAATAGCTGTTCCTCAGCCAGTCCCTTCGAGCAAAGGAAGATCTAAGAAAGTCTTAGAGTCAGTGTTTCGTATTCCACCTGAACTTGATATGTCTTTATTACTAGAGTTCATTGGGTGAGTACCCTAAACCTCTGCCTCTTAACCTTAAAATAAAGAATTTGTTAAGTCCCAACAGTTACGAAATCATCCTGAACTCAGGCAAAATCAAGTTTTTCTGATATTCTTTTAAAAATGAATCATGAAATATTTAAGATTTAAAAAAAGGTCTAAAGAAATAGTACTACAACTGCTTGTATTGCCATCATCTGGCTTAAGAAATAACCCATGCTAGTATATGGCGGGAGCCCTTCGGCTACCTCTTCCTGTTCACCACCCCCCCTTTTCTTAGAGGTTAATAACCACTCTCCTAAAAGTAATGATCGCCATCCCAATGATTTTTAAAATATGTTTATCTCATGTATCAATGCTTAAGTAATATGTAGAATTGCTTTTGTCCGTTAAAAACTTTATATGGTATCACTGTGTCTTACAACTTTTTTTTTTTTTAATACAACTTGCTTTTTTCACTCAGCATTCTGTGATTCATCCATATGGAAATGTGTAGCTGTAGTTCATTCATTTTCACCATTGCCTGGTATTCCCTCAAAATCAACATGCCATAATTTATCTTTTCTTGTACTGTTGAACATTTAGCTTGTTTCCAATTTTTGCTATTATAAATAATGTCGCTTTAAATATTTGTGTACATATCTCATGTATATCTCATATATACATAAATATTTGTCTACATATCTCATATATCTCGTATATATATACAAGATAGTTCTCTAAGAGTATAGATTTGCTGAGTCTTAGCATATGTTTGTTTTTAACTTTACTTGGTTTTGCCAAACTGTTTTCTAAAGTAGATGGATATCTTTCTAATTCATATAAATTGCTTCTTTCAAACATTGTATGTAGCATATGGTGTACTCCATTATATTGCAACATTGTTAAACACTATCATGATCACAGAGTTGGCATGCATCAAACTGCAGTTTTCAGAATACTTAAATAGTTTGCAGAATAAACTAAAATGCCTTTTTTGGAAAATACAGACTTTCCATTTTATGTCACTGATGACTACTTTACTTTTTAGCTATTTCCTCCTTATAATTTTTGGTTGCCTATATCACTTATTAGTGTCTAGCTTGTGCTATGTTGTATTTATCTCTTTATGTAGTCACCCTATGTTCTCAGCTGATATTAAGGACCCCTAAGAGGCCAGAAACCGTTTCTCATGCCTACACAGATCCCATGTAGTAGTGCTTGATAATGAAATAAAAATCCCTTTGGAGGAATGAACAGAAACTAGGTAATACCAAACTTTAAACCAGCAATTTCTGATAATAAAGAATATGTTCCAATCTAAATGTCCAAAAGGGACCTGGTTAAATAATGGTATATAGCACATGAGTACGTGCTAATATGATAGCATATGTGCTAATGTGGAACAGTCTCCAAAGTAAGAATACATTGTACGTTCTCGTTTATTTATTTATATTAAAGAGAGTGGTAGAAAATACGTGCGTAGACACGTTTTACATGCCCAGACCATTCCTTAAAGGACATAGAAGAGGATTTTAATGGCCATTAGTTGCCTCTAGGAAAGGACAGCTGGAGTCTGTGAGTCCACGATGGGAAAAGGTCTTACTTTTCATTGCATTTGAATTTTGACCATGTACCTTGGTTTTTAATAAGTCTATTTAATTAAAATTTGAAAATGGAAAGGAATTTATATTTCTAAAAAATATTTTGGGGAAATGTGACATTTCCTACAATGCACAGCAAGAACTGATGATCAGGGTTTTTTTATACATTTTTTGAAAAGTGGCAGGGATGCAAAGATAGCAAATATGTGATGGGCATGCCACCGTTACCTCTTCCTTTGCCCACTGCAGAAATCAATAATTAATCATAGCAGGCTTTCCTAATGAGTGAGACTTGACCATGGTACTCAAGGCAGTCATTACCACTTACCAAACTTACTACATTATCAGTACATTCCCTGCTATAGAAAAAAGAGCCCTCATGTTCTTTCCCTGCTGCCAGTTGCCGGGAGGCTGAGGCTCAGGTGGACTTGGTTCGGCTTCACCCAAAACCCACCGCCATGGCCAAGGAAGGCATTGCTGCTGGAGGTGTAATGGACATTAATACTGCTTTACAAGAGGTGCTGAAGACTGCCCTCCTCCATGCTGGCCTAGCACATGGAGTTTGCAAAGCTGCCAAAACCTTAGATAAGCACCAAGCCCTTCTTTGTGTGCTTGCATCCAACTGTGATGAGCCTATGTATGTCAAGTTGATGGAGGCCCTTTATGCTGAACACCAAATCAACCTAATTAAGGTTGATGACAGCAAGAAACTAGGGGAGTGGGTGGGCCTCTATAAAATTGACAGAGAGGGAAAACCCCGTAAGTGGTTGGTTGCAATTGTGTGGTGGTTAAGGACTATAACAAAGAGTCTCAGGCCAAGGATGTCATTGAGGAATACTTCAAATGCAAGAAATAAACAACAACAACAAAACTTTGTTCTTGTTCTAAAAAAAGAAAAAAAGAGCCCTCACTTGGAATAAGGGATCTAGAATTAAATCCTAGCTTCTCTATTATCTAGTTTTGTGAACATTGACAAATTGCTTTTTGTTTTTTCACACGATGTTTATTAAGGTCCTGCTATATGTACCAGCATAGCATTCTGCTAGTTGTTGATCATACAGTTTGAATAAGTAGGCCACGGCCTTTGCCCCTCATGGAACTTTTAGTTTTAACTTCTCAGAGCTTCAGCTTCCCTATCTGTAAAAAGAAAGAATTGAGCCTTTTATGTGGATGATTATGATGAGTAGTTGAACTCATAATATAGCTCTTCATCTGTTGTCAACTAGTTGAGGGGAAGAAAGCTTCCAGGGTGGCAAGGAGTCCTTTTGAAAGAAAGCTTCCAGAGGCAAAGAATCCGTTTGAAGTCACCAGTTCCCAGAGTTCACTACATGGAAGAGCTTTTATATTGCCACAGAAGTCAGGCTCCTGAGGGTAGCCTGTTGGCAGCTCTTTCATGGCAGGACAAATATCAGAGGAGTTTTAACCTGAGGCAAGTACAAAAGCAAATTTGGTCCAGCTTTTGAGCCCACTTAAGTTGGAGGAGCAAGAAAACTGAGGTAGGTTCAGCCTGTGAACAGTGATTTTTCAACCATTGGAATATGAAGTTAGATTTCCCCCCTAAATTGGGTATGCGTGTTTGGTGATCTTTAGATATTCTTGTACTTCTCCTTTTTGTTCTTCAGTTTCTGTGTGTAAAGTAGAAGATGATAAAAAGAAATAACTTCAGACAAGCAGTATAGTGTGTACAGAAAGCATAGACTTTGAAGAGTCTCAGTAAGTCAAGGTATATAACCTTTGGGATGTAGCTGAACTTCTCTCATCATCAGTTTCTGTATTGCTGAATTGGGGATTATAATAGCAACTAACAGGGTTGTCCTAAGTACCAATTTATGGTATTCCTACCATGTCTAAACTATTAGCAATATATGAGTATTGAAATAATGCAGGGTCATTCAAAAATAAAAGTTAAAGTAGTCTGTGGTGCTGTAATTTGTACATGTGCTAGTGAGGAAAATGGACTCACATGACTTAAGTGTGATACAGCAAAAATTTCATGCAGTCTTAAGCTCAGTAGCATTTAGTGAACCATGGAGGTAATATCCAACTGTATGCTGTATTAATCCAACTAGAGTATTATGTTCAACTCTGGGCACTACGTTTTAAGAGAGATCTTGGTAAGCCGAGGTGTAACCAGAATAGTAAAAGGTTTGAAAAACCATATCATATGTGGTAAGGGAAGGAACAAAAATAATCTGAAAAAGAGAAAACAGTCATAAGCCCCTTAAGTTCATTTCAAATCTTTAGAGGGTTATCGTATGAAAGAAAGATTGGGTCTAGTTCACAAGAGTACCGAAAGGCAAAACTAGGACTAGTGGGTGTAAGTTACAGGGAGAAACATATTTGCTTCAGTGCAAGCAAGCAATTCTAACAAAGTTGCCCACAAATGGAATGAATTGACTTGTCAAATAAGAAGCCGTCTATCTCTTTAGGTGCCTAAGCAGAAGCCAAATGACCATACACCATGGATTCTATAGAGATAATTCTTGTAACACATAGGGTATTTTATTTTACAACTCTAAGCTTATATATCTTAGGTTCCTATTATGTCCATATATATAACCTTTATATTAATGTAATATTATTTATAATATAGCTTATATGTTATATTTTAATATATTTCTCTTTTTGTATTATAAGAATATTCTGTAGATGATGCAATTGTTATCTGGCCTACTCTTCACAACATGATAAGGAAGAAAGAATGTGGGTTTTGATGCTAGGTACACCTGAGTTTGAAGCTTTATCACTTAATAGCTCTGTGACCTTAAGCAAGTTATTAAACCTCTCTGAGCTTAATTTTCCTCATCTATATAAGGGGAATATTAATACCTGATATGCAGGGCTATTATGAGGACTGAATGAAAAACATGCATCCTGTGTGAAGACCTAATATAATGCCTGGTACATAGTAGATGCCCAACAAAAATTAGTGCCCCTTGTCTCCTCATGACATAAACATAATTGATTTAATCAAGAAATCTCTTTGTACTTCAAGGTGAAGGGCAAACTGAGTAAGTCATGCCCATTATGCTATAAGTAAAACAACAGGAAATCTAGCAGCCTTCTTGTAAGAAATCTATCTTGTAAGGGTTACTGTAAAGAAAAAAAAACATTAATTATGATAGAAGTTTTACTTTAAATTGGAAAATGTTAGAATGCTACATGTGGGGGAAATCTAAATACTACGGATATACTTCTAACTCCTAGAAGTATACAAAGTAAAGTAGTGGCTGACACTGCCTTTGCCTTACCAATAGGTGGCAGAAATGACAACTACATTATTTATTTCGTAAAGGGCTAGGTGATGGTGTTTTAAAATTAAATTGATGTTCCTCAAATATTTATATTCATGTTATTTTTCTGTGTTACATGATTTAACGTATAGTTTAAAATGTTGATTAATTTTGCTTTCATTTTTCAGTGCTAATGAAGGCACGGGACATTTTAAGGTATTTTATTTTTATTTACTTCACAGGAGGACCCTGTAGTACACAATTAAAGAGTCAGATTAGCAGTCATGTGGAGATTGTTTTCAATTACGTAGAGTTTTGTAAATAAAAGTAGAAATGTGAAGTACATTCAGTAATGCTCTCATAATAAGTTTATGAGAAAAGAGTTATTAAGTAGGGATTTGTTATTAATTCAGGACAGAGGTCTAAGGAAACAAGTGAGAAATTTTTAAAACTCTAAAACCAAATACTGCGATAATTTGGTGACTTTAAAAAATATTTCAGGGCGCCTGGGTGGCTCAGTTGGTTAAGCAACTGCCTTTGGCTCGGGTCATGGTCCTGGAGTCCCGGGATCGAGTCCCGCATCGGGCTCCCTGCTCAGCGAGGAGCCTGCTTCTCCCTCTGACCCTCCCCCCTCTCATGTACTCTCTCTCATTCTCGCTCTCTCAAATAAATAAATAAATCTTTAAAAAAAAAAAAATATTTCAAAACATTTTTTGCATAGTTTGGCATTCAGAGTTAAATATGAGCTTAAATTTTTATTTGCATGTAACATTTTGGGCTCAAGGTAAACCTGCCCTAACTTGCGGCTTCAATCATTTACTGAAATTTTAGAGGTAAGAATGAAGTCCTTTGTTAATGTACCTAAGTTAAGAGTTGCCTTAAAGGCTCTATTATCACAGGTCCCATTGTACACAGTGTTGCTCCTATAGTATGAGTCATTAAGGAAGAGGTAACTTTTCCCTCTTTTTTTTTTGAAAAGGTAACTTTTTAAAAAGGGCTAAATCAGGCCTTATAGTTACTTGGGACTGTAAATATACAGGAAATAGCTGACTTTGATCTGTTTAGATTTTTAGTGACTTTTTCAAAGTCTGTACTAATACTTGGGTGGATTATACCTGGTTGGGTATACTGTTTTATGAGTATATTGGCTTAGAGACATGAATTGAAGCATAGGAATAGATGGGTACTTCTGTGGATGAAGTATATTGTAGATGTTTCCCAGAGATCAGTGTGATGGAGGGAATGCAGTGTTAAGTTCGGTAACTTTGAATTTCTTCTAAGTTGTAAAATACCAGATTTATGGGGATTAGGGAGTTCTTTCCTAGTAGTATGGTGGCTGGGAAAGTGGCATATGAGTTTCTGTATGGGACAAGTACAGTGTCATATGCTCCTAGAGTTTGCCGAAGATGTTTGTCCAATGACCTGTAGTAGCCACACAAACCAACAGAGTATAAAAACTTCATGAAGAAAGAACTAGACATTAAGTTGAAATATTAGCCTGTTGCTTCCACAAACGCACATATGGACCTAGAATATTTATGTAGTTCCAATTGTCTCACATTAGAAAAATAGGATGACAATACCACCTGTGAAGTATTCTTACCAAAACAAATGTGCAGCTGATCACACTCCTAGATTTAATTACTAATTTACAAGAAATTCAGGGGACAAAGGAACATGTTAAATGACACCTTAGGAATATAATAAGCCAAATCTAGACAGTGGAAAGCTACAGCACAAACAATTGTGTTTCTCCAGAATAAAAGGGAGGGGTGAAGAGGAAACATAGATAGAACATATTAATTAAAAGAGACTCAGAGGACATAACTAACTACAATGTATGGAGTTTATTTGGATTTGATTTGAAAAATAAACATTTATGAGAGAATAACCCCCAACTGAAACAACCCAAATATCACATCAACTGGTAAATGGATAAACACAATATGATATAGCCACACAGTGGAGTATTATTTGGCAGTAAAAGGGAGTGTGTACTGATAAATGCTACAACATGGATGAATTTTGAAAATATTACGTTAAATGAAAGAAACCAGGCACCAAAAGACCACATAATGTGTGATTCCATTTATGTGAAATGTCTAGAGCAGAGAAATTCATAGAAGCAGAAAATACTATATAGATTGGTGGTTGCCAGAGTCCCGGGAGAGAGGGGGAAATTGGGAGTGACTGCTAATTGGTGTGGGGTTTCTTTTTGGGTGATGAAGATGTTCTGAAATTAGATAGTGGTGATGAGTTGCACAACCCTGTTTAAATAAACTAAAAATCTTTGAATTGTATACTTTAAAATGGTGAATTTAATGATACATGAATTATATCCCAATAAAGGTGTTGAATTTTTAAAAAGTAACTAAGCCAAGATCCAATGGGAACTTTGAATAGAAATATTGTTTGTAATATATTTAGTGTATATATTTGAAAGTACAAAAATACATCTGGTAAAAATAATACATGTAAAAATTAGAATTCGAATTCATAGTTTGAGTTCATATTTGGTTATATTTTTTTTCACAAAATCTTTGTTTTATTTTTATTCTCTCTTTAATGACAGCCCTAAAAACAATAAAATCATTTCCTGCTAGGTAAGAAAATTGAGACAATTGGTGAAATTTGAACATTTACTAGAAATTTTCTGATATTAAGAATTTTAAAGTATGATAATGGCATCATGTTTTTAAAAAGATCTCTTATCTTTTAGGGATACCTACTGAAGTGTTTACAAATGAAATATGTCTGGGGTTTGCTCCAAAACAAATCTGGGAATGGGGGCCACGAAGTAGTTACAGTGGGAAATGGGTGTGGTATATTTAAAACAAAATTGACCTTGAGTTGATAAAGCTAGGTGATAGGCATATAGGAGTTTGATTTATACTGTTCTATAGTTTTGAGACATTAAGTTTTCAGTTTTAATTGATCATAACAGGTGTTAATTTGAAGGCCTTATACCTGTGAGAGATGATGAACCTCTTTCAGAAACAAATGATCCTGTTAATGCTGCATTTTGTGACTATTTTTACTTTGCTAAAACTGTCTTATACTTCCTTAGTTAATAGATTGGCAATCTTACTGTTTTTCTTTTTATTCTGTGATTTTAACGGAGTTCTAGTTATAGCTTTTGGTATTATAGCTCAGTATTCTCTGCTACTTAAAAAGCTGTTTTTATATCTTTTTTTTTTTTTTAAAGATTTTATTTATTTATTTGACAGAGAGAGACAGCGAGAGAGGGAACACAAGCAAGGAGA